GGAAGAAATGATGAAGCAAAGGAGCTGAATAGAAGATTCCAAAGACTTGAGAAGACAAAGTAGTATTATAATAAACTGTGCATAGATCTGGAGTTAGAAAACAAAAAAGGAAGAACATGATCAGCATTTCTCAAGGTGAAAGAACTGGGCGGGGGTGGGGGGGTAGTCCCTTGAGTTCAACATTGAAGGATTTTATAGGCAAAAAAACTGAATGACACAGGAAGCAACAAAAGAAGATGAAAGTCACACATAGAAACACAGTCCCAAAAAGAAATGGTTGACATTTAGACATTTTAGGAGGCAACATATGATCAAGAATCAATGATACTAAAGGAAGACATTCAAGTTGCACTGAAGGCAATGGTGAAAACAAGGCTCCAGAAATTGATAGAATATCAGTTGAGATGTTTCAGCAAATGGATGCAATGGTAGAAGTGTGCACTCATCTATGCAAAGAAATTTGAAAGGCAGCTACTTGGCCAACTAACTGAAAGAGATTCATTTGTGCTCATTCCAAAGAAAGTTGATCCAGCAAAATGCAGAAATTATCAAGCAATATAATTAATATCACACTCAAGTAAAATTTTGCTGGAAGTAATTCAAAAGCACTTGTAGCAGTACATCAACAGGGAACTACCAGAAACTCAATACAGATTCAGAGGAGGACATGGAATAAGGGATATCAGTGCTGATGTCAGACAGATCTTTCCAGAAAGCAGAGATGTTTAACTAGGTACAGTGACATTCAACTGTGTGGATCATAACAAATTATAGATAACATTGGGAAACATTGGAATTCCAGAACACTTCATTGTGCTTATGAGGAACCTATTCATAGAACCTATACATAGAAGTATAGGACTACATTGAGGACTAGGATGCGCCTGACCCAGGCCATTGTGTTTTCAATAGCCTCATATGGATGCGAAAGCTGGACAGTGAATAAGGAGGATCATAGAAGAATTGATGCCTTTGAGTTGTGGTGTTGGAGGAGAATACTGAGGGTGCCATGGACTGCCAAAAGAACCAATAGATCTGTTTTGGAAGAAG